TAAACTATGACCACGTAGTTAATATCCTTAGCGAGCAACGTAGATAGCTACGCAACAACAGATGTATACATTTGCATACCTCACAGAGCACCATCGCAGATGATATGGTGCGTGTGCCTCCGCCGCCCATTGCGGCAGCACCTACAACAGCGTAACCTCCACGGTGTATGCTGGGGAACTTCGTATGGATCAGTTCGCCGAACAGTCGACCTATAAATAGAATAGAGCAACAGATCTATAAATAGAATAGAGCAACGGATCAATAAATAGTATAGAGCAACCGGTCTATAAATAGAATAGTGCAACCGATCTATAAATAGAATAGAGTAACCGATCTATAAATAGAATAGAACAACCGACCGTAAATAAATAGAACAACCGACCTATAAATAGCATAGAATACCCAGTCTATAGATAAATAAAGGACAGAGCTATAAATAGAACAGAACTATCGACCTATACATAAAGCATTCAAAGAATGCCAATAGCACCCAATCTATAGGATATACATACTCAAACAAACGTATATATACAACAGCCCATAACAGTGAGTTCGACTGTGATGGTGTGATAATGACAAACTACATACCTATGGCCGCCCCCATGCCCAAGAGGGGTAGATAGACTCCGGTTGGCGCTGGCAGCGTTATACAGATCTGTGATAAGGGAACGTGAAAGATGTGGGTGAGTTGATTACGGTAGCCGCATTTTTGTGGACTTATATGTACCAAACGTGAAACATCAAGGGGGGTATTATATATACGCAAATTTGTGAGACATAGAGATTAGAGACCACTTATGTTATTATGTTATAATAGTATATAGGCAAGTAGAAACCTAGTCAATATATAGTGAGTGGTGAGGCGTAGGTATTAGAGACTACGTGTAATATTATATAGTAACAGTATAAATTAAATATAAATTAAGTATAAATGAGGTTCAAGTTAAGTATAAGTTAAGTATATATATATATATATACATATATATATATATATATATATATATATTTATATATATTAATAGGTATATATAGATATATATATATTAAATATTACTTCCAGGGTATATATATCAAATATGACTTCAAGTGCATATATACCAAATATAACTTAAACAGTGTGTATATATACAGCCCAAATATACCTACCGGAGTTACTAACCAATGGAGAACCAGAAACCCGAACAATCGTTTGTACACCATCCCCTGGGTCTCCCCCCATGCCGTGTCTGCGAGCTGCCACAGATCGCCTTGGTACATGAAGTCTCCCATTGTCTTGTTTATGGGACTGTTATATATATTTAGAACGATTAATGAACGATGAGTCATCCGGTGGTGTGTAGGTATATAGTTGTTCGGTTTTAGGATTTTAGGGTTTACGAATCAGTACGCCCGGAGACTAACATTTATCAATTGTCTTGTCCACGGGTCAGTATATTAAAGATATAATTCATTTCCTTCTGGATGTCACATCTATGAATTTGGCATATCCATTAAAATAAATGAATAAAGGCCGATATTTTGACAAGGGTTCTATACAATCTGACCCGTCAATGAGGCACGAAATGACACACGTGTGACTGTGCGCGGTGCTACCAATCTCTTTGGGACACACTGACTCCCGACGGATAGTTTGTGGGTCTACTACATCAAATGTATGGAGTACTACAAGCCATAAGCTATCACCTAACACAAATGTGAAGGAATATGCATCCATATCCACTCTTGCACACAAATGCAGTACATGTATACATACATACATACATACATACACACACACACACACAACACACACACACACATATATATATATATCTATATATATACATATACACACACACATACATACACACACACACACACATATATATATTATATATATATAAGATTGTTATTTCTGTCGGAGCTGTAGCTGTCTGTGGCTGTAGAGTGTGTTCTCTTCGACAGACTTAGATTGGACAAAAGTCCTAAACGTTACCATTTACTTTCCCACGTCTACGCTTGTGCTGAAACTGCCTATGTATAGGTATCATTTTCATTGCTTGCACCATGTACTGCTATTACACACGAATCGTATGTTAACTCCTGTCACCCCTGTATATCCACGCCACCACTATAACCAGGTTGGCTTAGACCGTATATAACTAACCGTCTAAAACAAGTGTTTGCGTACCTTTACTGTCAGCAACAGATCACGGCAAAACATAGGCAGGAAGTCTCTTTCTGGAACGGCTTGCAGCGCAAAATCGGGTTCGTAGGTCTCGAAACACCCGCCGATCAAAGAACGGCCCAAACTAATAGGGAATTTGGGAGATTATACCAAAATGATGTGAGCTTTTCAATTAAAACATACTCTAAAAGCGTTCACGATTGTCCTCGAAAGAAAGATGAAGGGTTATTCACGAACTAAAAATCTATAAACATGCACATGTATCCGCATTACACTCTTAACATGCGTATCTATACTACGCTTACACATGTATATGTGACAGAGAGTCATCAGTGAAATATTAGCGGAGAGTATGCATATGTACTGGACGGTTCACATACAATAGTCGATAAACATGCACTTGTATCTGTACAACGCCTTCAACATTGATCTGTACTACGCTTATACATGTATATGACAGAGAGTCATGAGTGCAATACTGGCGGATAGTATGTCTATATACTGGACAGTTCACACCCCATAATCGATAAACATACACTTGTATCTGTACTACGCCTTTAACATGTAGATGTGCTATACCTTTAACTTGCATCTGTACTACGCTTGTACAAGTATATGACAGAGAGTAATCAGTACAACAGTAGCGGATAGTATGTCTATATACTGGACAATTCACATACCTCCTGATAAACAAGGGCGTGTTGGGTGCCGCCTGTTTCGACTTGGCTTCTTGAGGTTTGGGGCTATACATATTTACGAAATTGTTGTGGTTGTAATTATCCGCACTATTAATATTACTATTACTATTACTACTACTTCTATTACTACTGTTGCGGGTGTTGCTGGTATCATTCATGGGCACACGCCGGCTGTCGGCTGTAGTGGTAGACGCTCCGAATTGCAGATTTCGAATGCCACTCGAATTGGCTGTGCCTGGGTTAGTGGTGTTTGCGCGAGGCTTATCCTGGCTCACACCGGTATTCGGCTTAGCAGAAGTGAAAGAAGCCCCAACTTGACCCGAACTTTGGTTTAGGATGGAGTTCGAGGAATGGCTTTTTGATATGTCTGGGATGATCCGCACCACGCGAGTGCTGTGCAAGGCATTGAGAAAGAAATGAGAAAGGACAAGAGGGTATTGGCGTAAGAATTGGGTCGAATGGGAAAAAAATGGGAAAGGACAAGAGGGTATTGGCGCAAGAATTGGGTCGAAAGGAAAAAATGGGAAAGGACAAGAGGTTACTGGCGTAATAATTGGGTCGAATGGGAAAGAAATGAGAAAGGACAAGAGGGTATTGGCGTAAGAATTGGGTCGAATGGGAAAATGGGAATGGATAAGAGAGGGCACTGGCGTAATAATTGGATTGAATGGGAAAGAAATGAGAAAGGACAAGAGGGTATTGGCGTAAGAACTGGATCGAGAGGGAATAAAATGGGAAAGGACAAGCGGGTATTGGCGTAAGAATTGGGTCGAAAGAGAAAGAAATGAGAAAGGACAAGAAGGTATTGGCGTAAGAATTGGGTCGAATGGGAAAGAAATGAGAAAGGACAAGAGGGTATTGGCTTAAGAATTGGATCGAATGGGAAAGAAATGAGAAAGGACAAGAGGGTATTGGTGTAAGAATTGGGTCGAATGAGAAAGAAATGAGAAAGGACAAGAGGGTTTTGAAATAAGAATCGAGTCGAATGGAGGGCATTGACACAACACCCGTCACTAACCATATAGCAGATACAATTCACTTTGAGCGCCAGGCCTCACAGGCTTTCACTGACGTGAAGTTTGATACATGCCACACACCGGTGTAGTAACCTATACAAACCTCACGCAAACTTGTGTAGGTACGTGGTACACGGTGACGGATACCTCAGGCAGATCAGAAACAATACACAGACGCTGTAGCAGCCAAGCACACCTGGGCATGGACAGCTCCAATAGGTCGCTCGGTATCTCTTGCGAAGGGGTCACTCGATTGTAATCCTTGTTCCTGTCTAATTGTCCACCATGGCCACCCCGTACCCCAACGCCAGTCCTGAGCAACCCGGTTTCCATCACCTCTATGCGCTCAAATACCTGGTGGAGAACAGATCCGTAGGATATGACGAGCATGGTGAGATATAATCTAGTACTATATCGGCAAATACATAGGATGAGATTCTAACACATACACACACACACACACACACACAAACATATATATACATATATGCATATATATTTCTATATACACACACATACACACACACAGAGACATATATATATATACATATATTTATATATACATATATATAAATATATATATATATATATATATATATATATATATAATATATATATATATATATATATATATATATATATGTATACATACATATTTATATATATGTACGTCATATATATATATATATATATATATATATATTTAATATATATATATATATTTAATATATATATATATACACACACACACACACACACACATATATATATATATGTATGGACATATATAAATATACATGTATACAAATATACATAGATACATAGATACATAGATACATACAAAGATACATAGATACATAGATACATACATATAAACATTTATACAAACATGCATACATACATACATACATACCTACATACATACATTTATACATATATGCCTACATGCATACATACATACATACATACATACATATATATACATATATTAAAGATATAAATAGGTTCGTATATATATATATATATATGAGTATATTTATATACATACATACATACATACATAAATACATACATACAGACATACAAACAAACATACATACATACATACATTTATACAAACATGCATACATATGTACATACATACATACATATATACATACATACATATATTTATATATACATACATATATAC